TAAAAATGACTATTGTGATGCCCCAAAAGGATACTATGAGAATTAATCTGTCAGCAAAATATTTTCAAGCACCAATAACAAAAACAGCTCCTTGATCTTTCACCATCTTCTAGATAAAAGGTGGTAGCTGTCCTCATTTTCAATAATAAATGCCCAAACAATTAGTTATTGTCCAGCCCTTTGCAACTTACCTTGATGAGTTATGATAAAAAGATGTTCATCATGGATTTTATTTCCTTTTATTTCACTTTGAAGTTCTTGTGCATTCAAAACTTTATCCAACTTTAAATGAAAAATAGGAAGACTGATTTTAGAATTATAGAACTTGAGTTTTTTTTTTTAAATCAATTTTAATAAGAAGTAGAGTATAACTCTGAAAAAGGTCCCCAAAGTCCCAGATTCTCAGAAACCAATCTAGTTTCTTTCAAAAAATGAATGTAGGAAGTTTCATCATAAAAAGTGAGTTGAATTTGGGATTTTTGTCCTTAGAAAAATTTGATTTGGTAGAACTTTGTCATAACAAGTGCAATAACATCACTGAGAAGTCTCATCTTGCCTGTCTCATGATGGGAGTGTGACAAAAGCTTGACAACTGGCTTAGCTGACTGCATCTTCCAGTCCTTTGTTCTTTTATTCTACTAAAAAGCCTAGTCTGTGAAGGTCTTAACATTCTTTATCAGTTCATCCTTAAAAGCCCATTGATCAAAGCATCAAAGCCCTTATTTTTGCTTCTTAAAAAAAAAGTAAAAAAGACAAACAGGATGAAATTTAGCTCAGAATAATATCCACATACTTCACTTGTTGAGACTTGAGATTTCTCTTTTATTTACTAATGATTTCGAGAAGATTCTCACTGCCCTTTATATTTCTCCTTTATGAAGAGAGTTTATAAAAATGATTCATTTTTGAGATGCACTTCCAGTTACCTAGGTTGTGATTCATTGACCACGTCTTATTTATCTACATTGTGCAATGTCTGCCTGTTATCTAAACTGCAATTTATCTTTTATACTTTTCTGCCCAGATTCTGAATTCTGTGCTTTTTACTACTCCTCTATCAGAGAGGTGACTTTTCATATAGAATCTCTTTTTTTTTTTCAATCAGAAATTGAAAAAGCATAAATTTTCATGAAAAGGAGGTATCTTTAAGTCTGGTCAATTGATGATGCAGGAAAAACAAAGTCATATAGCAGAATTTAGAACCTAACACTGGAAGTGAAATATCATTAAGACCCTGCTACTTACCTGCAGGTAGTCCCCATAAACGAGACCCCCTTTGCTGGCTTTATTAACACCAGCTTGTGATTTGTCTTCTTCACTGCCTTCTATAGATAGATTTTTAAAAGCATATCTGTGGATTTAATAAATGAGGAGAAAAAAAGCAGAGCTTGAGAAAACACAGTTAACTAATAATTGAGTGATTAAACTTCTAATTTAAGACAGGTGATAATTTTCAATTCTCTTTAAATTCAGAGATTAAAAATGATCATACCTGGCACCTGTAAGAGCTAAACTCCACTTAGAATACAAGTCAATACTCACCCAAAGTTGTTTCCTAAAAATGGGCACCCACTCATGTTAAAAAGACACTGAGGAGTGGGGAGTTGAGTCTAGATGGACGGTATCATTGACCTACCCAGATGTTATACAGCTGCCTTTTATGCATCCTGCTTTCTGTGACCTAGCCAATCAGCATTCTTCTTATATTCCCAGCTAGTTTCTCATTTCTACTGGTACAGAGAGGGAAATTCAGAGTGGATTTTTATTGGGCACAATTTGTTTGCTAGTACAGCAGCTATTCTGCCAAACTTAATCACCTGATTTGCTAAGTTCTGCTTTTATTTTCAAAGTGAAAAAAATAAATTTAAATAAATCAATAGTCCAATTTAAAAAAAAACATTCATTCAGTTTCAAGTAACAATTTGGTGTAGTGTTAGAGTTTGCAATGATGATCAGATTATAAAAAAGAAACAAGTATTTATTCTCTCATATTTGCTTATTCTTTTGAATCTTAAGCCAATAACTGAATTTGAATGTCTCTGGGGAAAAGAAAGCACTGTACAACAGAGGCTAGTACCTGCTCAGAACTCACTTGCATTTATTATCAGAGTTATCTTGGCCAAAATCTCCTCTAATAATTAGGAGCAGTTAAGCTCTCAACACATTGCACTGTAATTGAAGTGGATTGCTTCATCCTGTCACACCAATGACAGGTAATAGGAGTCATCCACATCAGGACACATTGTCTATAGAGAATTTAAAAACAATAATAGCTGTGGGTCCACAATTTGAACCATCAGCAATAAAAAAAAAAAATGCTTTCTAGAAACAATGAGCTAAATTTCATCCTGTTTGTCTTTTTTACTTTGTTTTTTTTTAAAAGCTCTAAAGAATTGCTGCAGGACCCTCACATCAGGGCAGAAGCTCTTAGCCTTGACCTTAGCCTGCCTTGGCTGCTCACTAAGAACTGTCCACAGAGACAGCACTTCCTATTTACTCCGCCCCCCCCAAAAAATGATAGGTACTTTTCCACTTTTCCAAAGTCAGAAACATCATTTCTAGTCTTGACCTTACCATTTACTGTGTGATATGGGGAAACCTGATTAACTTCTGTACCTATCGACTTCCTCAAGAAAAGATAATGAAAGTGTTCGAATTAATTGTAATTTTGAAGATCCTGTTATACCCTAAAGTGTTGATTTGTATCATTGTATAATAAATTATCATTTTAATGTGTAAACATTGTCGAATAAACGGCATAAAAATGCTGTAAGAGAAGCAGGAAATCATCAAAATCATATCCTACACCGATCATAATTCCTTTGGGATTTTCAGACCCTGGTAATTGATTGCACATGGGACAGGACCTTACATGGGAAAGGGATGGAGTCACTGTTCCTTTTTCTGGTGTCTTGGGCCACAGTTTTTGAAAGCAGAGAATATCTGATTGTCCCTCTTTCTCCATTTGGTTTTGCAAGTAGGTATGTGCTTTTAAAGAACAGAGCTAAATAATTTATTGCACTCTAAACCTTTTGAGCTGAGAAGTGCTCTTCCCCTATTGGTAAACATACTGGTGAAACTAATAAGGAAATTGGCTTTTCCCCTATAAATTAGAAAGAAATGGATATTCTAGGAAAAAAAATATTTTGCCTTTTTAAAAAGTAGCTTTCTACTTGCATCTCCCAAGTGGTATTAGTTTAGTGGTGTGATTTTATAACTACAAAGACAGCCTCTCCAGCACATGCACTCCTGTTAATTTTTGTCATTGCAAGCATTATCAAATTTATGATTGGTTATATTCTGGTCATTATCTAGGCAATACTGAAGTTTTTTTAGTTGGAACCCAATTTGTCAATCTGATGTGTACCTCAAATTGGGAGATTTTTCCTCATGATCATGTTTTAAACTTCTTTAAACAATAATATCTACTGTTCCAAGTACATTTCATATACTGATTTTTTTCTTTATTGCTGGAGATTGAACCCAGAGTCCTGTACGTGCTCGGCAAACTCTCTATCACTGAGCTACACCCTTGGCCCCTATAATGAATATCTTCCACAGACATTGTGAAAATGCACTTTAACTCAAAGAAGCAAATATAATGAGAAACCTCAGGCATTCTAACAGACTCCAAAGAAAATATAAGTAGAGGCAATGATCTCCAGTAATCTTCTAAACATTTTTTTTTGTTTTTCTTCCATACAAATTTATTTATTTTTTATTGGTTATTCAAAACATTACAAAGATTGCAGAATCACATCAGTTACACATCCACATTTTAATATATCCACATGCACTAACTCTGTACAGATGGATTATGGAAGTAATATGCTAGAAGCAAGACTGGTTGATGATCTAGCTTGAAGAATGCAAATCACAATGAATTCTGGGCTCAAATGGTCCCCAGAAACCATCTAATTTGTTTCAGAAGTAAAAGCACTGAAAAGGTAAGAGATAAAATAACTTTTTTTCCTCAGTTATGCAGTAAAAGTATCAAAAGAATATAAAAAATAAATTAAGCCTATTAAAACCAAAATGTTCATCTCATGTTTTTTTTCCTTGTGATTTCTTAAGGCTATGCTATAGAACAGAAGTAAGCTCATGAGAATAGAGCAGAGAAGAATTAACAGAAACTGGTCTTGGGGCTAAATTGGAATGTAAATAGGAATTTGCAAAAACTACTTTTTTTTAGCCATCACAATATTTATTTCTGCAAAACATCATTTGTAATCTATTGTATTAGGTACATTTTCTTCTTTCATCTACCCCTGATGATTATAACTGCTAAAATGCAACCCCACCAACCCAGTTGTCCAAATTTTTCCTACTCAACAGATCACAACAGTCCCAGAAACCTGCCCAGAGGAGCATTCCGGTGGATACATGACCCAGCGACCTGTTTTCCAGAGATACTTCTGAAAGGACTATGTTTTAGTCAGCTTTTTGTCATAGTAACAAAGAGATCTGACAGGAACAACATAGACGAAGAAGAGTTGATTTTGGCTCATAGTTTCAGAGGTCTCATTCCACAGATGGCTGATTCCATTGCTCTGGGACCACGGTGAATCAGAACATCATGGTGGAAGGGTGTGTTGGAGGAAAGATGCTCAGGACATGGCAACAAGGAAGTAGAAAGAAAGATCCACTCAGCAGGAACAAAGTGTATACCCCAGTGACCCACCTCCTCCATGCATACCCTACCTTCCTGTAGTTGCCACACACTTAATCCATATAAGTGAATTAAGCCATTGATTAGGTCATGCCTCTGTAACCAATTAATTTGCCTCTGAATGTTTCTGTATCATCTCACATAGGAACTTATGGGGAACACCACATATCCAAATCATAATAGTGTAAAGTTCTGGCGATACGTCGGAGAGGGAGACCACCCAAGAGACTGACTCCATGCAATTGGCAAAAGGGGATATTTATTGGGGATCCATTCCAGCGCGCTGGGACTCTGTGCCCACTCAAGAAGGGAGAGCAGCCCAGAGCCCAGAGCAGAGTTCAAGCGGAGCTTAAGTGCACTTTTTGGAGAGGGTGGGGGGGCTTTGCATACATCAGAACAAATCATCATGAGGCGCGGGAAAATTGAACAACAACCCTGAGTCAGGATTAGTGCATACATTGGCGGGAACAATCAGGGCAGGAGTGATTGGTGCTCCTAGGTGGGGTACACATTCAAACTGATTGGTTTGGACCCTGAATATCTACGTGATAAACTGCACAGGGTCTTGAATGCTTATGTGAGGAGTTGCACAGGACCCCAGTCCATAAATCACTAAATGGCCAGTAGGGCCTTGTCCCGCCTCAGGAATTTAACCCATGCTTTGCAGTTTTAGAAGCAGGTTTACAAGCCTGGTCCTTTACACTTTAACTCAGGCTCTGCGGCTTAGAATCAGCTTGGAAATTTTACCTTTACAATAGAACGTTCCTTCACATATCTTTGAGGAACTCCTAGCTGCTCACAGTATTGACATAAAGAATTTATTCTGATTTTGCTTTTCCTTCTTGTCTTCCTATTTCTACTTCCCTATCCTTCACGATTTCTTCCCAGAATCACCTCCTAAATAAATTCTCCCTTTAAGTCCTTATCTCAGGGTCTGCTTGGGTGAAAGCCAAACTGATATATACTTATTTATACTTAGATCATACATTTAGGAATTGAATGGTTACTTTTCTTCAAAACATTTGCTCTTTCTAAGCAAAAAAGCATTTATGAACATAGATGCCATTCAACAAAGTTTACCTGGGACAGTGACTCACCATTTGTTGTGTGAACTCATTTGTTATTAGTGGTGTTATGCTTTTGTCTCATGCCACATCTCAGAATCTGAAGATAATGAAAATTCCTTAGTTAGGTTTTACCTTAGTCATACATATAAGAGCTTTTCAAAGTCTTACTTGGTAAAGTCCAGTACCAGCCTTCAACAAGTAATGTTTTTTTGTTTTGTTTTTTTAAATATTTTGTTTTAGTTCGACACAATATCTTTATTTTTTATTTCTATGTGGTGCTGAGGATTGAACCTAGTGTCCCACACATGCTAGGTGAGTGCTCTACTACTGAGCCACAACCAGCCCCAACAAGCAGCGTTTGCTCAGTGATAATCATGGCCTACTCCAGAAAAGGCAGATAACAGCCGTGGGAAGCTGATGCAGGAGATGGAAAATTTTGTGACCACCTTGGGCAACGTAGTGAAGTTATTACAAAATAAAAAACAAAAAGGGCTGAGAACGTAGATTAGTGGTAGAGCATATCTGAATTCAATACTCAGTACAAAAAAAAAAAAAGAATTTAGATACTGGTTTCAAGAGAAGAGGACTTGCATTGCTAACCATAGATCAATTAATTACCACACCATTTCTTTACTGTTTTCCAAAGGGGGGGGGAATTCTTGGAAGTTGTGTGTAGATAAAGTTAACTTAAGGAGTCTTATATATAAAGAAATTCAGCTGGGTGTGGTGTCACATGCCTGTAATCCCAGCAGCTTGAGAGGCTGAGGCAGAAGAATCACAAGTTCAAAGTCAGCCTCAGTAACTTAATGAGACCCTATCTCAAAATTTTAAAAAATTAAAAAGAGCTGACGATATTGCTCAGTGCTTAAGCAATCCTAGGTTTAATCCCTGGTACCAAAAAAGGAAAAAGAAAAAAGAAAAAAAATTATATGCCTCACACAGCAAAAATAGCACACACACACACACACACACACACACACACACACACACGCAAATCCAAATACAAGAGATCCTTTTCTTACTTTGAACTGTGGAATATGTGTTTGCAGAGAAATACTTACAGATAAACTTGTATTTTTCTTCTTATTAAAAGCCATGAATATTACAAAAATAATTCCACTGAGATTTGAAATATAAATTGCAGCTATTTCAAACACAGGCTTATGAAAATTGCTTTTGTTTGCTGTTTGATGGAGCACTTTTTGGTAAAATTTGAATCAACATTCATTTTTTCCAAGTCCTACATTTTACATTGCCATTTAAAACTTGTCAGCAGATAATGTTCTTCATCTAGTTGATGAATTTTATAAATAAAATATATGCATTTTCAATTTAGTAGAAAAATGAATGTACTATTTGTAAATCAGAAATGATTAAAATTATCTACATGAGGTAAACTGTATACAAATTAATTAGTGTGAAGTTTTCTTGAACTTGCAATCATATATTACACAGTTTTTAAAGCAATAAAAAGCATCTTTGTTGTCAAAATAAAACTATTTCATAAAATATGAATAACTTATAAATTATAAGACAGAAATTATTTTATTATTATAAAAAGCAGAATAATGAAAACGTTTCAGTCTTGTTGTCATAACATACTATTGAAATAATATGAAATTTATAACTTATAGGCCAAAATGTTTAAATATCAGTGATTTCATTTGGTTCATCCTATTATTACTATTACAGTCATAATAAACATCACACAGGAAAAATAATATAAAAGGCAATTTGAAAGTCAAGCATATTTTCATAGGGCTAAAATAGAGAAGTTTGATTTTGAAGGGGAAGGGGAAAGCATATTTTGATGCTTCCATGATAAGTTATCTCCTTAGAAAATCAACAAAATACGTATGATACCCACATGCATTTAACAGAGAACCCAAGACTTCACTCTCTTATAGTAGACTGCATAATTTTCAGATCTGTGTAGTCAGCTTTTCACCTCTTTAACCAAAATACCTGACATAAACAACTTGAATGAGGAAAGATTTATTTTTGTTCATAGTTTCAGAGCTTTCAATTCACTGTTGATGGGGTCCATTTTTTTCTGGGCCTGAAGTGAGGCGGAAAATCATGACAAAAGAGCCTGGCAGAGGAAACCATAAGCTCATGGCAACCAAAATGAGAAAGGTTGGGAGGAGAGAAGGAGGAGGAGGAGGCAAAGGCGGAGTGATGTTGAACAAGATACTGTCCCCAAGAGCATGCTCCCAGTGACCTATTCCTCCAACTGTGCGCCACCTGTCTACAGTTTCCACCATCTCCCAATAGTCCATTAAAATCATAAATCCCTCATTGATGAGGTCAGAGTTCTCTCGATGTGATCACTTGCCAAGAGCTCCACCTCTGATCATTGCTGAAATTAGTAAACAAGCTTTCAAGACATGAGCCTTTGGGGGACATTTCTGATCCACATCATAAGGAGATCTTATTTCCCATGACTTCCCAGTGAAACACCTGATGATGAACCCAGAATTTAAGGACTAAGTCCTGGAATCTTCTAAATTCTTCATGCTTAGATTGACCTCCTTCCATTTCATCTGAATTTTACTGTAATTAAAATTCATTTCAAATACCCTTTCACTGGGATGCTTTCCAAGGTGCCTCCAAAAAGAACAATTTCTTCGACAGTGATTCAGCAAACTTGGTTCCTATTCAAATTCTTAGCACTTATCACATTTGATTCTCATCTTTTGGTTTGTGCCTGACTTGCTCATAAGCCTATATTTCCTTTTAGTCAGCACTCTGCATCACTTTTCTTTGAACTCAGCAGAGGTCAGGTATATAAGAACACGAAAAAATTTCTCAAGAAAATTGAATCTCATCTTTCCATCACTCTTTGTTCAAACAGAGTCAGGATGAATTCAAAAGCCTCATTCTGCAGCATACTAATAATATTTGGAATCCTGGGAAGGAATAAACGTGGGGACTCGCAAAATACATCAGCTGAATTTTGTTTTAAAGTTATGAAGCTTCAAGCACAATGGAGCTCTGTTTATACATAACATTACAGAGAGGGGTGTCAGTAAGTCGACAACTTTTGCTGAACTCCTTCTCATTAAAAGTTCAGGTGTAGTGAACTCTGATTTGTGCATTTCAAATTCTCATAAGTCCAAGATTAAATTGATTATTTTCAAATAACTGGAAATATGTGAAATTATTTGGACATATGGGTGCAGAAAATTTAAAAGTGGAGAATAGAACTATATTTTTGAAATCTCTTTTCATGCCAGACACTATGATAGAGCTATTTCATATATTCATGCATTTATTTATTAATAAATTTTTTTTTAATTCTTCAGATGGGGGCTCACTGTGTTATCCAAGCTGACCTTGAACTATCAGGCTCAAATTTTAGCTTTCCTAGTATCTGAGATGTATACCACAGCAACCAAATATATATGTACATTTAGAACTCTCAGAACTAACTTTGCCTGGGTTACATGGTGTTAGTTAATGGAGTCAGACATAAACTTAGAAATTTCTCAGCTGAAGTCTGTATTCTTTCTCCTTCAAAGGTTGCCTTAAATTCCCAACTGTTAGACTTCATGACATACCTTTCCAGATTCTGTTACCGGCTACCACGCCAGGGAAGCTGACTAGATCTCGGCTGGCTAGATTGGGTTGCCATCCCCATAGGAAATAAACAAATAATGTAGAAAGAAAAAATAAATATAAGGGAGTTTGTTCAAAACTGGGGAGACTCAGTCTGACCCTTCACTGGTCCTATGGAAACACGTTCAATTTGTAGAAACAAAAGCCAGGAAATACACATACATAGATTTAACTAGGCTGTGTTAGCCAGAAAACACATTATGAATCTTGTTTTTCTATTCTTGCTGGTACTGTCTATACTTTGAGGTCAAATTTTTTACCCTCCACTGAGATACGGAAAATGGCAACTAGGAAAAAATAATACTTGGAACTTTTAATTTCAGTGGGGCCCTGTTATCATTCTTTGTATCAACAATAAAACCCAGGTTTTGTATTGCTATACATCTAGGAGTATTTCTAATTACATTGTGTAATTTAAAAAATTATTTTTACAATGATTATTTGCTCATTTGACTTAGATTTCAATTTTTATTTTGTTGCATGAACAAATTTGTAAGATCCAGAGTCTCGTCCATATGACAAGTTCAGTGGTGTTTGCAGGAAATAAGATATTTGTGAAAAAATAAGTCTCATTCACTCCAAATTTGCCTTAAGACAGCCTTGTTTAAATAGCCAAATGGGGAGAAATGTTTCCAATGTTAATCAAATAAAATACTAATAGGACACCTAAAGATTCATGTTTCTGATACAATAAAACGTGAGCTGGTTATTATTCTGTACATAGTATTACTTATTTTGTACTTTTTAGGCATTTTAAATATGTCACAGGTTGTAGAAAAGTTCATGATCTATCCAATAATGGAGAAACCTTTAAAATAATGTATCAAAATATAATGTGTGTGTGTGTGTGTGTGTGTGTGTGTTATAGGAGATGGAAGTTAGGGCCTTGAACATGCTGGGCAAGTGCTTTTCCCCTGAGTTACATCTTTAGCTCATATTCTTATGTGTTGACTTAAATTATATTTCTATTTACCTACAAATTCCATGATTTTTGTTTTCTCTGGTATAAAGAGGCTGATTCATAGTGGGTGTGGGAGGGGGAAACATGGGAGGATTAGAGGAAGATGGTGGAATCAGATGGACATCATTACCCTAAGTACATGTATAAATGGTGTGACTCTATTTTGTGTACAACCAGAGATATGAAAAATTGTGCTCGATATGTGTAATATGAATTGTAATGCATTCTGCTATAACAGAATAAAAAATTTAAAAATCAAACAAACATAAAGTATATTTCTAAAATATAAATATAGTTTTTTTTTTTTTGATACCATGGATCAAACCTAGAGGCACTTAACCACTGAGCCACATCCCTAGTCTTTTTATCTTTTATTTTTTATTTTGAGACAGGGTCCCACTAATTTGCTTAAGGCCTCGCTAAGTTGCTGAGGCTGGCTTTGAATTTATGCTACTCCTGCCTCAGCCTCCCAAGCTGCTCAGATTCTAGATAGATTTCTACTAAAAATATCCACTCAGCTCTTAAAGACAAGCAACCTTCCAGTGCTAAGATTAAAAAGATGAAGCCAGACAGGAAAAATCTGTTCTATCACAAAACTAAAATCCATGAGGGAAATTACAATAAGCTAAGAAAAAAAGAAGATGACTTTAGATTACAGTATGACTATGAGAAAAATGAAACAGTGGATAAGATGAAATAATAGGGGTCAGAGGAGATGAAGAAAGTTCTCTTGGAGACCTCAAAGGATTAGGAATCAGCCTGGCACAGATCTGAGTGAACATCAGATCCATCAGATCAGATGGAATGATGGTGGTACCTTTTATAGCATTTTAATGTCAAAGCAAATTCATAAAGAAAAGTTATACCTAGAAAGTTGAACAATCGATATATTTAAATTCACAAATATAATGTCTTGTGTGGTGGAACTAACTGTGGAATAAGACACAGTGTGACTATTTACACATATTGCAAAATAGGTTTTTCTGAGTTTTGTTGCCCTATAGGAACAGGACCACATGACATCTCAATTATCTCAGTACTTTCGTCTATTCATGCAATTGTTGAAACAACTTTTCTGTTAAGGCACAGTGTTGAGATCTGGCTTCTGCTTGCGGTAGGCTGTCATATACCTACTAAGTTCACCTATGTTGTTGCCTCATTTTCCCAGAACAGTTTAGAAATAGGTCCACTGTGTCACTGATAAAATGTAACTGGAGCTTTTCTCTGCCAACATAGAGAGCATCCTCATAGCTGGGAAGGTTAGGGGAAGAATTCTCATTAGCCCCCACCTATTTGCAGTTGAACATTCTTGGTCATTAGCAGGTATAGTGCAGTCAGCTAAAATGCTGAGACTGAATAAAGCATAAATATTGCTGTTTAGTAGGAATAATCATTTTAATGTCATTTTAATTCTTTTATGCTAGTTTCACAAGAATTTAAAGGTGGAAGAAAAAATAAAAGATGCTGTTTCTGAAGTTTTCCAAACTACTCATTGCATTTCAGATATTGGCAATGAGTCATATGTGAATTTTCATTTATTTATTTATTTATTTAGTTAGTTAGTTATGTTGTTATTTATTTATTTACTATACCAGGGATTAAACCCAGGGGTACTTAACCACTGAGCCACATTCCAAACGTTTTTTATATTTTTATTTACAGACTTGTTCTGATGAAGTTGCTTAGGCCTTTGCTCAGTTGCTGAGGCTGTCTTTAAACTCCTGATCCTCCTGCTTTGGCCTCAGAGCTGCTGGGATTAGAGGTGTGTGCCACCATGACTGGCTACTGCGAATCTTTTTAAAAACAATTCTGATTCAATGATAACTTGTTTTTCCTTGCTCTTGCCAAAACAAAAAACAAACAAACAACAACAACAAAAACCCCAAGAAATGAAAACAACATGTATGAAGACTCGAATTGAAGTGTCAACATACTTTATATGTTTACAGAGATAAGAAAAAATGTGGTATGTATGTGTATTAAGAATTGTAATACAAAAAAAGTAAATGTATAACTGCATAAATTGGCATGAATAGACTTTATATACAGAGATATGAAAAATTGTGCTCTACATGTGTAATAAGAACTGCTGTCATGTATTTTTTTAAAAAATCAATAAAAAATAAATAAAGCCTGTACAGGCAAAAGGGAAACAAAACAACAAACAAACAAACAAACAAAAACAACTCAATCTATAAAATGTCTATTTAGATAGTTACTAAACTTTTAGCTAACTCTAAGTTACTCACATAAAAGACCAACCTTATTTCTACCCCACATCTGAAAAAAGTTAGCCCCATCTTATTCTATTTTCTTCTCTACAGTTGAGGCTTCATTGTGCCTATCAGGCAAAATCACTTGCTCTGTAATCTTTAAAAGAAGTTATCTACTTCTAACACACTCACTCACTGATAGGAAATGAAAGCCCAGAGAATTTCAGAATAGCACATAAATGCATCAGCTAGGCAGAGGAGGAGCCAGAGACAGTCATGCAAAAATGTTCTGGATCCAAGTGTGCAATGATCATTCTCCTCTGTTACCCTCCTTTGCTAAAAGTCAGTGGGCTTCTTAAAGAAAATGCATGTATGCAGGTTCTGTTAAAACAGAGTGGTTGATCATTTATGCCCTTTTTGTTCAAAAAAAAAAAAAGAAAGAAAAAGAAATCTTTAAAGACATGTGACAACA